ACTCTATTCATGTGACCAACCATTCAATTCGTTTCTAAATATGACTTCTCCGGAAACATAGTCCATGTAATAGTCATACCTTTGCGGCCAACAAATAGGGCACAAGTTGTGAGTTAGTGGAGAGATTGACCAACAGTTTGATGGACTGCAGTCTAATGGCAGGGTTCGGGTGCATCAGGAGAGCCATCAGTTTATCTATAGCTGCGGTCATAAGGATTTGGTTGCTGTCCCGGAGCGCCAGATTAGCCAACGCTCTGAGCGTCCAATTGGTCAGCAGGTCGTTGTCGGAAGTCTTCACCCAATTCACTAACACTGGAATGCATTCCTAATGGATATAATTGAGACAATTAGGAGTCAATAAACAGCAAAAGGTCTTCCATTCGTTACTTTAAGCAACTCCTGAGCCCTTTCGCCATTAGCTATATTGGCGATGGCATTGGTGGCCGCAGTCTGTACGGCCCTATCCTTGTGGAACAGTAGCTCATATAACAAGAGAATACATCCGGAATCACATATCGTGTCCTATGAGTGACAAATAAAGACATAAATTTAAGATACCATTCAATTATCACTCAATACATACAATATTGACTGAAAACGCGCAACAATTGGCGATCACTGACAATGTTTTGATCATCAGATCTTCGTCTCTACTCATGAGTAAAACGGTAAGACTTTTGGCGTCTTGTTGTGACAAATTGGGCGTCGATTTGCCAAACAGTTTGTCGAGAATTCGCTTATGAATTAAGATCTCTGTCTCCGATGGAAGCGCCATATCTATGGCCCGCTTAAGACCCACACAACTATTGCCGGACATCAGGCCATTGGTCTCCACGTGATTGGCGTCCAGACACTCGACCGACCGGTACAGACGCTCTCGGGATCCGTTCATTGCCAATGGTTCCGGACTCTGACTGCCACTCAAGTGGCGTTTCGGTGTATTTCCGCAACTAATCGATGTCTTCGTGTTGTTTGGCATCAAATAGTGGTTTCTGTTAGACATCGAGTGCTTGAACTGGAAGTTCGTTGTGTTCACTAAACGCATGTTAAGCTCACGGATCCGCTCCTGAATACTCTTAGCCCACGGACTCCACAGCTCCGGAGGAATATCACCGAAGGCTGCGGACCGTTGCCGCAGACCTACCGGTAGAGTCAGATCCGTTTGACTCGACGTGTGACTCAACGGCTCGTAGCCTACGCTCGCGGTCTGGATGTCCGTACCATCGCTTACATGTCGTTTGCGATTCTTCGAGTGGTTATTATTATCAGTGTTTTTGGTGACACTATTCGCGTGGTTGTCGGTGAAGATATCGCGGAGTATCGATAGTCCGAAGTACGCGATTCCGGCCATCAGAGCGCCCGCCAGCGCTATCTTACGACCCGTTTCGTTGTCCATCGCTGTCACCAATAGCTGATCCCAAGAGGTTACGTCCAAAACAGGGCACAAATCGTCTTTAAATGAGTGGTGAGTTTGTGACGAAATGCAGACACAGTCTTAAGTCACGCGTGTTATCACTGTTGGGCTGATTGTGTGGACACGTGTTATCATCGGTGGTGTGAGTGGCGGTCATTATCTTCATCGACGTCTTCGTGTGTCAATGGATTGAACCGTAAGTTAAATGAATTAAAAGTTTGAATCATTCAATGAAAACAACATTCACTGCAAACACCACAACATTATCTCATTGAGCCGTTCATAGAGACTGTCACTCATAGACACTGTTTACTTGAACCCCACACTCATCGCAGTAATCAATG